GGTCAACCTGTAGAGAAAAGAATGGTGATTACGGTGATATAAAAATTGCATCAAACGGAGGCCGAGAAGGGCTCCCTCGGAGGCAAAAACCGAGAAGGGGCGCAGCGGCGCCGCTAGGGTTCGGCCGTTTGGCCGGGATTTTGGCTCCGATTTGGCAACAGGAGGAATCAGCATGGAAAAACGAGTCGGGGGTACGAAATTTACCTCGATCGGCGGTCGGAAATTTCCCCGGTGCGGCGGCGGGTGGCGGCGGCCGGCTTCTGGTTCGTCTTCTCCGGCGAGCGGCAGGCGGCTAGGGTTTGTGGTCTGGTGTGGGGGTTCTATTTATAACCCTTTGCCTTTTGATCTCAGCCGTCCATTTTGTTTTAATCTGGGCAGTCCGTTTTTGATTGAATCTGGGCCGTCCGTGCGATTGCATCTGGGCCATCCGATCGCGCATACGCGGATCGCCAATGTGGCCCGTTCCGGAACGACGTGGTCTTGCCATGTGGCAGGTCCTGGTTAGCCGGGACTGCTGACCGGGCCTGCTGACGTAGTTGTCGACGTGACTTTTTTTTTCGGCCCCTTTCCGGGCGCTACAGTACATGTTACCGATTGTATATAAAATCATGATAAGCGCTATGTTATTGTCTATATAAGTTGTTTTTATAAATCTCGCTGCGTTAAGTGGACGGTAAATAGTTTTATTATTAATAAATGCATTTGTTTTATTAAGTACTCTATTAGTTGTTTTGATTTTCTATCAACCTTCATTTCTGTGTCGGTGAGTAGTGTGATATTCTTACTGGGCTAGTGTAACTCATTTCTTATTTACCTATTTCAGATCAAGATGACCAGGATTTAGAGCCCGATCCACAAGAGGGTTGCGATTAGGATACCAGTTTTATTTATTTTCCGTTTGTTTCCTCAATTTTTTGCATTTTCTTCAAAAAGATAATTCTCGTAGCATTATTTGAGACTTTAAGTTTATATGTAAGGAATGTAAACCTTAGTTATTTGTTTCGCTTTTGCACTAAATTCATAATTTATTTTCTTTGGATATTTCATGGTCGTTACAGTTGGTATCAGAGCCGCATTCCTCGAACCCATTCCTTACACAAAATTCTTAAGAAATACCGAAAATAATGAATTGTCACACAACTATTCCTTGTGAAATGCAGGTACAAATAGATAAAAAGATGAAGACCCCCACTAAACCGAGCAGTCAGGAAGATTCACTTAGAGAAGATGTTAACCGATTATTTGAGATGGTGGAGAGACTCATTGATAACCACCAAGCTCGTAAGGGAATGAGAGAGCTACTTGACCCCCCCTCCCGCCCTCACTGCCACAAGTTGAGCCATCCTTGCAACGGGAGGATCCCGAGCCATCCCGATATGACTCTGCTCCTTCACAGTACCACCCGACATCACCACAGTATGATCCGGTGTCCAAGCCACCGCATCACCTGACACCACCACAGTACAATTAGGTGCCTCCACTGTATCATCAAGTACCATTGCAGTGCCATCCAATTCATCCTCAGCACAGTCCAGTCCCTCATCCATGGGACGCAGCTCCTCTCATGATGGACCCAGACTACATAAAAATGTATAAAAGACTAAATTCATTTACTTTTGCAGGGGGATCCTCATTTGAAGAGGCCGAGTTCTAGTTAGCTGAGACAAAGAAGGCCTTCAAGACATTTAGGGTGAATTCTCGAACAGAAGGTAATCCTTGCTACCTACATGCTAGTAGGAGAAGTAGACCGCTGGTGGCAACTCAAGCAAACCACCATATCCTTTCAAGTCACTTGAGAACAGTTCTTGACGACCTTTCATGCAGAGTACCTCTCAGAGCATATTCGACGTCTGAAGGAGATGGAGTTTGCTTTCTTGGTCCAAGGGAACATGACTGTATCAAAATATACTCGCAAGTTCCTAGAGTTGGATCAATATTCTCCTAAGAGATAATTTGTTTCATCTCTGACATCTTAACTTATTTTATCTCTAACATATTTATTTATTTTTTAACATTTTAATTTACTTACTTTTAACACTTTAATTTACTTTTTTTTAATACCATGATTTTCTTCCTCTTTAATAAAAGTATTAGAACTAAATTAATTTTAAATAATTTAAGGTTTGACTATTAAATTAAGTTATTTTTTATAAATTTAAAAATTAATCAAATTTCTATTAATTAAATTTCAGTACTTTAATTCAGATATTAATTGCTTATATGAATCAAACCAGATAATCAAGGACAACGAACTAACAGTAAGAAGTATTATTTTAATTAATTAATTTCATAGTTATCTTTATTGTTATATTATTTCTGAAATAAAATGAAATAAAATATTATAATAATATATATCCTTTATATAATATAATAATTAAATAGTAAAGAGACGGCTCCTTTATATATATGCCACACTCCACATGCCAGAACATTGCCATTTATTTGACTTGGATGCACCACCACACCGTTTACAACTCTCTATTATTGTTTCCCTTTCCATAAAAGCCTCCTCTTCCTCCTCTTCTTCTTCTTCTTCTTCTTCTTCTTCATTATTTTTTCAAGATAAGACAGACTCAGAACTGTTCAGACCCAGACCAAACACACAGACACGGCAGAGCGAGAGAGAAGCATGGCGAGAGAGCAACCAAAGAACGGCAACATGTACATTGAACACAACCTAGGAGCTTATGAGAATGGAGATGCCGTCAAGAACTTTGACGATGATGGTCGAGAAAAAAGAACTGGTATACCACACACGAATATAACTATACATATCTATCTGTTAGTATGAACTATATTGACCAAATTTGTTAAATATTAAAAATGACAATTTTTGTTGTCTCTTTTTTGGTAAATTAAGGGACATGGGTGACGGCAAGTGCTCATATAATCACGGCAGTGATTGGATCCGGCGTGCTGTCTCTGGCATGGGCTATAGCGCAGTTGGGTTGGGTTGCAGGGCCGGCGGTTCTCATGGCCTTTTCTTTCATCACCTACTTCACCTCCTCTCTCTTGGCCGACTGCTACCGCTCTCCCGATCCCGTCACCGGCAAGAGAAACTACACTTACATGGACGTCGTCAGATCCTACTTAGGTATACATACATATCCTTATGTCATTTCTCTGCTTTTCGGTCAAGATTCCATCTGGGTTTGTTTCGGAAAGATGAAAACTCTAATG